GTGAGAACCTATGTCCAAGCCCACCCGTTCCCAGTGCAGTGGCCTGCGCCTGCCCACAGCTCAGAGACTGCCCCAGGAGAGGGCAATGATTAAAGGCTGCTAAAGGCAGCGGCAGGCAGCAAAGCTGCTGATGGCACCACTCTGCCACCAATCCCACAAGAGCCTCTTCATCCGTCCTACCTCTGGGAATAGAACTCTTGACAAAAGCAATGACATTGGGCCGACAACGTCACATTTCATGGGCAGTTAATCACAGAATCTCCAAGTCAGTGGAACTATGACAGGCCTCTAGTACGGGTCTTACAGATGATGACGCACCTTTGGTGTCACTCCTTCAGAAAAAGCTGGTTCAGCCCTCCTGGAATCTCTAATGACAAGAAGCTCCCTCACTCAAGGTGGCTCCTTGTGTCTTCAGACTGCTCTCCCACTCACACAGGCCTTCCTCACATCTGACCCACAAGCATCTCCCCATCACTTCCAACACGACCCTGGCTTGGCCCTCTCCACTCCGGCACCTCTGGTCACCAGGGAAAATGAAGATTTCTCTTCTCAAAATCGTCTGTCACAGCCTTTTCCTTCCCAGCACTCCCTCCTCTTCCAAGATTCCAAAGCTGCTCCTAAGCAGGTCTGGCCAGCAGACCACTAACCACCTCTCCAGCAGGCTCTCCACTTCTTCCTGGAGCCCAGCCCCCAAAGGAGAACACTCCCAGCCAGCAGGGCCACGCTCGTCTCCCTGCCAGCCAGTCACTTCCGCGTCCTTTCCCAGGGCATCACCAATAACCACGGGTGCTTCCCTCAGGAGAAGCCAGGAGAAAGTACTGGGAACATATGCATTGATACACAAGCTGTCCTCAAGGACCTTACAGGCCTGAGAGGAGAGATGTCCACAGACAGCAGCCCAAGAAAGTGGTGAAGCAAAGACTCCAGCAACATGCTAAGGCATGTATGTCAGGGAACACAGACTGTGGGGATGGAGAGGCAAGAATTCTGACACCAAGATGGCCTAGATTCAAACCCCAAGGCCTGTCACACTCTAGCTGTGAAACCATGAACAGGTTACTTAACCTCACGAGCCTCAGTTTCCTCATCTGTAAAATGGGGGCATTACACCCACCTGGCAGCACTGTTGTGGAGATTAAACATGTTGGATATAGAACCCTTAGCCCTGTGTCTGGTACTACACATCACCACTATTCCTAATGGAAGCCATTTTTGAATTGAACCTTTCAGAGCTGGCCAAATTTCTAAGGCTGACACTGGGAGCAGAGTGAAAAGCCTAAGCAATAGCTTAGTATGGGGAGTGAATGGAACGAACATCTCAGGCCTATGGTGTACAGGAAATGGGGCAGAGAGCGGGGCCGGGCTATGGGCTGGAGCATCTAGAGTCAGGATTGTGGGGCTGGAGTACTAGGAGTACTTCCCTCCACCACTGGGCCCCACCTAGGGATGTCAAGGCAGGAGCCTACACACCCTCTGGACCAGAGGGCAGTCTCTTCCCGTGAGTCCTCTCTCACTTTGCGCTTGGAAGCTGATACTTCTGCAGAGCTGTAGCACGACTCTGTCCCCATACCTCTCCCTAAACAACATGTGCAGCCCACTCTCAGGAATGTCTGCTCTGCCTCAAACACCCCCAGGATGCCAGGTTCCTCCACCCCCAACTCCAACAGCGACCCCCCTCCCCCGTCAGTCTTCATCCTGTGAGTCTTCCACAACAGGTTCTGCTGCATTCCCCCTTCACTATCAAGACCCCAGAGGGCTCGCTCCACCTTAGCTCCACCTTACACCTTACGTTTCCAATCCCCAAAGAGCTTCTGGCACTACAGAGCGAACAACAAACACCAACAGCAAACACCAGGCCTGGCCCAGCCTCATCAACCTGGGCTCCATTACTGCCCATCTTCTGAGGTCGGTCAGCAATGTCCCTTTCTCTGAGCTTCCTCCTTCTCAAGGCCCACCTCCTGTAGAAAGCCCTCTATTCAAGTCCACAGAAACCACTGAGCCTGACAGGGAACTAAACAGACATAGGCCTCAGGAAACAAGCCCATTGGATGGGGCCTGGTATACATAAGGGACCACTATGAGCGCATCAGGGGGGCAGGAAAAGTGCCCCTAGAAAGGCACTAACTGCTATGGGACTTACTGTTAGGTGAGGAATGCACACCTCCAAACCTTCCTGAGCTCAAAGTGGGTGGTCCTTCATTTGCAGAAGAAGTCAGATCAAAACGTCCCCCTTTAACATGACATGCTCTCAGACAGGTTTTCTGGCAGGGCCTTCTCACTTGGATGGCCTTCAGAAGGGCAAATGACCATCACCCAGTAGAAGACAGATGGGACAGATGGCTGGATTGAGGGCGGGGGCAGGGCCCAGCCCTAAGAAGGGAGACCAGCCCAGCCACCCGACCTGAGCCCCACAGCTCATGTTCCAGACTGCCCAGACCCGGTGGCTACAGGTGAGGCCTGCACTGGCAGGTGCTGCCAACAAGGGTTTGTTCTATGGCCATTTCCTACTCCTAGTCCTCTCTCCCCAGGCAATCTCAAGCTTCACGGGGGATGGAGAACAAGGCTTCGTGTCTCTGCATCTTCCCCAGGTGCATTTATGGGTAAGCAATGGTCAGTGGAACAGAAAGACAGATGCTTGGTCACCACCTCAGAGAGCATGATCTAATGATGAGGCCTCCTCACCCAAGAAATACCCCAGACAAATCCCACCCAAACCATAGCTCTCTGCAGATGGTGATAGAACCTGTTGTTGGAGTCAGCCACGCTCTTGGTAAGGGACAGATGCCAACAGGGCTGGCCAGCAATTTGACTCTGGAACTGGGAACTCATGCTTTCAGCTTCAGATAAATGGGGCGGGGGGCAAGGCTGGGCAGTGGCCCCCATAACACTGGGAGCCTCAGACTGTGTTTCCAGCAGAGCAGGAAGCAGAGTCTCAGGATCCAGTCTAGTGGCTACGGTAGGAGCAGGAAGCCCGAGTCCATTCCTCACCTTATTCGTTTGTCATTCTCCAAGCCACAGATAATCAATAGCCGGTTAGCAAGACCGCAAGCTCCAATTAGATAAACTGTCTGATCCACAATTGCCAGAATCAGGAACTCTTGGGCAAACCCTCGGACTTTCGGAAAGAGTCTTCCCTCTGTTAGCATCTCTTGGGAAACCTCCCTCTGTACTGTAGCTGAGCTCACTACTCCCTCTGCCAGCCAGGCCCCAATAGCCTGGCATCACACAGAGCTCCCAGCACACAGCAGGCCAGGCGGGGCCTTGGCACAACACTGCCTCTGGGAAGTGGAGGCTGGGTCTTCTGACCTGTGATGAAAGCTGGCCCAGAGCGTGAGGGGGGTGCCCTCTGTGACTACGCCATCATAGCCTGGGCTTCCCAGCCAGTCAGCATTTGTTTTGTTGAATCCATTTGGAGCGCAGAAGACAAGAGAAACTTTAGGGGAGAGCTAGACAAAGTCCCAGTTTCTCCTTGGCCTGTGGCCAGCACAGAGCTGGCCTAACAATGAAGGCTTCCCTCCCTTCCTAATACCACTCTAACACGTGACCTGGAGATCCCCCTAAGGAATGCCAGCCCCCGTCCTCACAGGAAGTCCTTGACTGACCCCACGACCACGTCTGGAAGCTAATAAGGAGTTTGACGGAGCACAGGGCCTCAAGCACCGAGCACTGAAGACAAAGTGGCAAGAGGCTTTGGGGATGACTCCTGCAGGAAATGCTGCTCTGGGCCAGCTGGCTGGAGCCAGAGAAGGCCCAGTCCAAAATCCCTGGAAGGAAAGCTGGGTTTCAGAAGGGGGCTGGTTCCTCCCCGCCATGTGGGTTGTTCAGGCAGGCCCAAGCCTGAGGGGAACACTGTGGGGAGCACTCTGCAGGGGGCACTTGGGGAGGGGCCCTCGCTGCCCCAGCAGAATCCTGCTGTCCTGCAAAGCTTACTTCACCTCCCAGTTAAGCCGTCACACATTCTGTTATTCACCAGCCTCCCAAGCCCACCATTATGCTCACAGCACCTGCTGTTACCTACGGTCAGCCTCATCTCCCCGCCCATTCAGCATCCTGCCTGAGGACCAACCAGGTCTTTCTTTTTGTGCATCTTCCTTCAGCTCCCGGCAGTGCTGAAACCTAACAGATTTTTTCAGGTATCAGGACAATCAGAGGTTCCAAAGACACAAACTGGTGGCCTGCTGGTTGGATCTGGCCTGTAGGTAAGTATTTGTTGGCACAAATGGAATTCCAACATCTTAAGATCAAATTTTCTGGCTTCTCTTAAAAGAACTGGAATGTGTGAGTACAGAGAATCCTCTGGGCTGTGTGGCAAAACTGGGCAGAGATGAGCAGCAGCAGATCCTTTCGACGGGACACAGTCACTCTAGCTTGTCCCAGTCCCCATGGAACTGCTACTGCGGCCACCCTGGCCCATGTGCTCCAGCCCACCTCTGAGCTCACCTGCAGCTGCGGGGGCCCCATGCATGCGGACAGCTCCCCGGGTGCCAGTGCCCACATCGCCCTGCTTCTTTGCCTGAAGACTTTCTCCAGCACCGGCTGACATCAGGACAGCCTGGAAGTGCCAGGGATTTAACGCCCCTCCCCCCAAAGAAATTCTCAACTCTTAGAGGAGTCAGTGGATTAAAACCCACCCACCTTCTTGTCCCTCAGTGGTACAGTTCTGAGGCATGTGCCACGTGATTATTCACAGGGTCCCCAGTGGGAGTTCCAGTGGCGCAGAGTGGCAGTCCACTCCTTCATAGGCCCTTTATTGGCTTCCTCCCTTTCTGCCTCACTTTCCTACCCTTCACCTGTGCTTACTGGACTCCTATCCCAATTACATCTGCTCCCAAGTCTCAGGGCACACTTTTGGGGAAACCCAAACTAAGAGACCCTATTAGTCTCACTTCATCATTTTTTACATTACCTGCCTGACCCCATGAACATGGCCCTCAGAGCGCATCCCCCTGATCAAGTGCTGCCGGGGGCCTCCCACCATCCCTGGGGCAGGGCACACTCACCTCCCCCGAGTAACTGTACTTGCCCCTGAGGATTTGCCGGTACAGCCTGGTGCGGTTGTCGTCCTCAAAGGGCATGGTGCCACTGAGCAGGATGTAGGCAATGACACCCAGTGCCCACATGTCAACTGAATTGGTGTAGGGCTTGCGGACCAGGACCTCAGGTGCAATGTACTCGGGTGTGCCACAAGTGGTCTTCATCAGGCAGTCGTCACCCTTCTTGCGGGCACTGGCTAGGCCAAAGTCAGTGATGATGATCTTGGAGTCAGTGCCGGGGTGGTAGTAGAGCAGATTCTCAGGCTTGAGGTCTCGGTGTGTGATGCCCAGTGCGTGCAGATATCGGACACCGTCCAGCACCATCTGCAGCACCCGCGTGGCATCACGTTCAGTGAAAGAACCCTTGGCGATGATGCGGTCAAAGAGCTCTCCACCAGTGGCCAGCTCCATCACCATGTACACACGCTCCTGTGTCTCAAACACCTCCACCAGCTGGATGATGTTGGCGTGACGCACCCGGCGCAGCACACGCAGCTCTGACTCACATACCTCCCGCCCTTCCCGGTACTTGGTCTCAATCATCTTGATGGCATAGGGCTGTCGGGTTGCCCGGTGCTCCACACGGACCACTCGGCTGAAGCTGCCTCGGCCAATGAGGGCTTTGATGTCGTACTTGGCCGTCACACGTGGGTCAAACTTAGCCCTGTACTTAGCCACCCTGGCCCTGCGTGGCGGTTCTGAGGGAGGTTCTGTGTGGCTGCTAACGGGGGCACCAGGGCAGGGGTTTGCACCCTGACTGGCTGCTGGGAACACGGCTTTGAGAGCACCAGCACTGTCCACCTCTGTGATGAAGTGCTTGTACACATCCTTCTTAGTGCCACTGAAGGGCTCCACCTTCTTGACGAGATCCAGCTGGACATCCTTTGGCGGCTCCGGAAGGACCTTGCTTGTCCCACAGCCCATCACGGACACGGGGGCATCCTCTCTAGCGAGGCTGGCAGGACCTGCTCTGCAGGCAGTGCCCCGTCTACACCTACGCACACAGAAGAAAGGGCAAGTCAGCACAGCCACGGACACCTCTGAAAGGATACCAGCCATCCTCCTCATCCCCTCCCCCTTGCCCACGATAAATGTAGCCTGAAGACCTGACTCTAAGATGGTTCCATAGAGGGGAGGATGGCGTTGGCCCCTGAGTGCTCGATGAAGGGTCCAGATGAAAGGCTGGGTCTGAGCTCCCTGGTCTTTTTTTGTTTTTGTAAGACTTTATTCATTTATTTGTCAGAGAGAGAGAGAGAACAAGTACACAAGCAGCGGGAGTGGGAGAGGGAGAAGCAGGCTTCCCGCCGAGCAGGGAGCCCGATGCGGGGCTCGATCCCAGGATCTGCTTCTCATGCTGCTTTCCAACCCCAAGTGAGGGGCAGGAACATGCACTAGGCTCAGCTGTCACTGCCCCCACCTTCCTCCCTACTCTGCCTGGGTCCCTTATCCTAGTAGAAGTTCAATGTTTTTTTAAATGTTAAAATCATTCCTCTTATTACTCTGACTCATCTCTTCTGACACGGGGGTGTAGAATGTTGGAGGCCTGCTCACCAACACTATCACCCACCAGAAAGCCTCTTCTCCAAGGTGCCCCTCATGGATATCTTTCCTGGCCCTCTAGGCCTCCCACGCCTGCTGCCAACACTACCATCCCCGCCCTGCTCTCTGCCCTGACCTTACTCTTTCCTGGACAGTTCCCGTTACTTTGCTAATGCACCATCTTCATCTGGCAGTTTATTTTTATTTTATTTTATTTTATTTTATTTATTTATTTGACAGAGAGAGACAGCTAAAGCAGGAACCCAAGCAGGGGTAGGGGAGAGGGAAAAGCGGGCCTCCTGCCGAGCAGGGAGCCCGACGTGAGGCTCGATCCCAGGACCCTGGGATCATGACCTGAGCCGAAGGCAGACACTTAACGACTGAGCCACCCAGGCACCCCTCATCTGGCAGTTTAACACCCTGTTCCAGGGCCTTCTACTTCCCAGTTCACCACACGGATGGCCTAAATGCCACACAATCCCAGATCAGGTTGAAATCAACCCCGGTAAACTTAGGACTACAAACCTTAGCACACTGCTACCAGGTAGCTACCAAACTAGCCTGGGTGTCGTTCAAGAGACAAAGGGGACCTTGAGCTCCGAAAGGACACTAACAGTTTCATCTTGATGTGACTCAGCCTGTGGATCAGGGTACTCTGCTTCCTTGGGATAAGGATCCAAGAGCTTCTCCATTTGCTTCCCAGAGATGTTCCAACCATTAAAACCCTATAGCTGCTGCGGCCTTCATAAGGTGAAGTGCCGAAGTACTGCTTTCCAGAAGTCACTTCTATCCTGGCTGTCCTTCTCTAAGTCTTTCTGAGAGGCCCACTGGTGAAAGGAGAGAGCTGAGAATTTTCTATTGATTATGACATACAGAATTAGGGGTAAAATTATCAATTCAGATCAAACATTTATTAAACATTGTAAAGGGAAAAAAAACAGTTTTCCTTCCTAAGGAGATAAAGTTCTTCCATACTGCGTATTTCTTCACTCTATGTCTCTCCTTTACCTTCACAGAGAACACTTCATTTTTTTTTTAAAAAGATTTTATTTTTTTAAAGTAATCTCTATACCCAACGCAGGGCTCAAACTCACAACCCCAAGATCAAGAGTCACACGCTCCACCGACTGAAACCAGCCAGGTGCCCCTAGAACACTTCACTTCTGACACCTCTGGTCACATGTGTGGTGAGTCCCCACATCAAGCAATTCTGTAACGCCAGCCGATGTCCTACAATTTAACTCAGTTCTGACACTGTCTACCCAAGGATCTTGTCAGATACCACAGGTTAAGGGCTCAGTCCCCTAAGACTGCTCCCTCGCTCATGCACACTTCAGCACAGGTCACAAGCCTGGGTTATCATCTGTGCTTCTGACCAACTAGCCACAGATTGGGGTCCCAAAAGCCCCCTCCTTGAGTTCAATTAATTTGCCAGAGAGACTCCCAGAACTCAGGGAAACACTTACATTTACCAGTTTATTAAAAGATATAGGTGAACATCCAGATGGAAGAGACGCACAGGAAGGGCCAGGCATATGGGAAGGGGCGCGGAGCTCCCATGCCCTCTCTGGGTGCCCCACTCTCCCAGCACTTTCATGTGTTCACCAACCCAGATGCTCCCCGAACACCCTACTATTGGGATTTTATGGAGACTTCATCACACAGGCATGATCGATCATTAACTCCATTTTCGACCCTCATCCCTTCTCAACAGAATAGGAGGCAGGGCTGAAAATTCCAAGCTTCTAATCACAGCTTGAGTCTTTCTGGTGACCAGTTCCCATCTAGAAGTCACCTTATTAGAACAAAAGACACTCCTATCACCCAAGAAATTACAAGGGTTTCAGGAGCCTGTATCAGGAACCAGGGTCAAAGGCCAAATATCAGAACAAGAGATGCTCCTGGTGTTCTTAGCACTTAGGACATTACAAGGGTTTCAGGAACCCTGCGCCAGGAACTGGGGGCAGAGATCCATATATATTTTAGTCTATCTCACAAAATATCTACTAGGTGCTAGGGATAGGGGAATGAATAAGACATGGTCCAATGTAAATTATACTTTAACACACACACACAGACACATAAATAAAACACGGTCACCAAAGTCACAGTGTAAATTAAGAAAAAAAGCATAAAAACAGATCATTTCAATATAGCATGGTGTTAGGCTTGAGAAACAATAGATACATGTAGAATGACACAGGGGTTAGGGAAAGCTTCCTGGAGGTGACCCCCACACTGAATTTAAAGTAAGAATGAGTCAGGTGAGGAAAGGTGGGAATGGTGTTTCAGGCAGGGAGCAAAACACACTCAAATATTCAGAGGCCCACGGTGATACCCTGGGCCTGGGGACAGCCCAGGCAGTCTGGTGGTATGAAGACAGGACTGGGGGCAGGGTGGGTTGAAGTTCTGGAAGCAGCAGGAACCGGATTGTAGAGAATAGGACAAGTTAGGGTGAGGAATGAGGACCTTCCAGGGAGGTGACTGGAGCTACCAAAGGGTTGACAAAGAGGCAATCAATCTGTACTTAGAAAGAAGTGCGAGGCAGAACTGGAGGAAGGTCAAAGTAGGTTAAAAGGGCCGGTGAGCAGGGTGGTGGCCCAAACAGCAGGGTGGAATGGAGAGATGTCAGCAGGAAAACAGACAAGGACTGAAAGCAAGACATAAAGGGTGAAAGGAAGGAGAGAGCGTGGCTCTCTAGTCCCTTGCTTGGGCTCCTGGGCAGAAGGGTCAGCCGTGTAGCAGGAGGGACAGATTCGGGAAGCAAAGTGGGAAGAGATCAGTTTTGGGTGTGTTGCAGCGCACGTGCCACATCCAGATGACATTAAAGTCGAATCTGACGTTTGAAAAAAGTCAGTAACAGAGATTCCATGGCTGACCAAGGGTGGTGCTTGGGGCCAAGGGGGCAACACCTAAAACCCACACCCCAGCCACTGGAGAAGCCAGCAAATGATCCCATCAAAGGCAGCAGAGGGAGACCCAGGCAGGTTTTGCTGTGGCAACTTGGAGGTCACAGAGAACCCATAGAGTCCACCAGATTCCAGCGAGTCGAGGGCCTGATTCTAAGGTAGTGAGACTGACCAACGTGGCTAACTCTTTCAAGGAACAAGCTCATCACTGAAACATACCCGAGACCTTGAATAGATAAAAAAGAGGAATCCGGAGACCACAGATTAAGGGCTCAGATTTTAATGAGTATGTCAATATGACTCTCAGCAGAATAAGGTATCTTTCCTCACATGAGGAGGAATGATTCCTCCACCAACACAAGGCTCTTCCATATTTGCTGCAGTTCTCACCCAAATGCCCAGCTGATCCCACACAGTGGCTTAGGAAATTGTGTTTAAACAAAGGCATTTAGAAACAAGGTTCCTTTCCACAGAGGCTACAGATTAGAACTGTGAACTAGATTCTGCAGACTCATCTCTTCTTTTGGGGAAAAACAAGACTCTCAATCCTGTATAGGGCTGCAGCTCAGGAAAATGACAGTTCCTGGGCCAGGATTCCTGAGGCAGAACACAGGCTCCTGATCCCCAAGCCCACTGGTGAGCAACGTCTACCACCATCCAGACAGAAGACAAACGGCACAGGTGACCCAGCACAGCCACTCAGATGTCTTCTCCCTGGTGAGGTGGCATCATCCTAGATCCAAAAAATAAATAATTGTTTCCAGGCATGTGCACTGGGTCTTTTTGTTTAAATGTGCACATCCAGCCTGGTCCTGATGAGAAAAACTAAGGTTTACAAAAGAAAAGGTCTGACTTCTCACTTTAAACAAACAAAGCCTGCACAGGGATCTCAAGTCAGCACTAAGAGAGCCAAGGATCATCCCTCTCTGACCTTCCTACCTCCTCCCTGGGACACAGTTTCTCCCACATCTGTTCCAATTAGAAACTCTTCCGAGATAAGCTGATGCTGGTACTCCACCTTCCCAACTCCAGAGGAAGAGTGGAGGAGAGAGGCTGCTAGCTCTGGGAAGGGGCAGCAGCTGACAGCCCCCAGGTTGCTCCAGCCCCACAGCTGCTCCACACGTCAATCACATCTGTCAAATCCCCGTTGCTCAGAGGTCAGGTGAAAAGGCAGACAAGGGGACAGGGAAGGAGTCTGACAAAACTTCTGGGAATAAGAACATTTTCCTGCCCCCCACCCCGCTCTCCTCTGTATGCCCCTAGCACAGTGACCAGGGTGTGAGAAAAGACTCAGGAGGTCACACTATGCCAGCTATCACAAGGCACCATTCCCTTTCACGACACCCATCCCAACACATCTTGCAGAAAGAACTGAAGAGGGGCGCCTGGGTGGCTCAGTCAGTTAAGCGGCTGCCTTCGGCTCAGGTCATGATCCCAGGGTTCTGGGATCGAGTCCCGCATCGGGCTTCTTGCTCAGCAGAGAGCCTGCTTCTCCCTCTCCCTCTGCCTGCCTGCTGCTCCCCCGCTTGTGCTCTCTCTATCTCCC